AAATTCTTCCCAATTCCACTAAAATCAAGGTGGGACACAAATGGATGATGAAGAAGCCTACTTCTTTAAGAAATACGGCAAAAGATTAAAATAAGGGAGAGAATTAAGAAATGGCACAAATTAACAATATGCACGTAGATGAAGCATACTCACAGATGTTTGTTGAAAACCTTAGACAAGACAACTTCTTGGTTGAGGGGAGTAACATACACATCAAATTTTGAAAAAGGGGATGTAAAAGCAGGTATTGTATGGTATCACAAACTTGCAAGAAACACAGTAGGAAGTGAAGCAGTTGGTGGAGATTACACACACACTGAAACAAGTGATGACCTTGTTCCTGTTTACATTACAAATGCATTTAGAAACTCAAAGAAACTTAGAGGAGTAGTTGCATCACAAATTAAAGCTGATTATAAAGACCAAGTTGCAACTGAACAAGCAAAAGATGTTAAGTTAGGAGAAGATAAAACTGCTATTGCAGGACTTGTATATGGTGGAACTGTATCACAAGACACCACAGACATTGATGACACAAATGTTATTGAAAAAATTATTGATGCAAAGAAAGATTTTGAAGAGAAAGAATGCAACACCAAATGTATTGCTTGTTAGTCCAGAAGTTGAAGCAATTTTGACAACTGTTCACTTGACAAAATCAATTTTCACACCTGTTACAAATGATGACCTTGTTAAAGCTGGTGTTCTTGGCAAATATCTTGGAATGTATGTATTTTCAAGAAATGAATTGGGAGATTCAGCAAACAATGCTGTAGTATATAGAGATTCACAAGCAAGAAATGTAGATTTGTCAACAGTTGAGTTTGTAATGTACGATGCAAACTATTTTGCAGTAAACTCATCATTTGAAGAAGCTAGAATTGCTGATTCAAACGAATTTGCAGGCTCATATGCTAACATTGAAAGAAATGAAGGTTTTGGTGTATTGAATGCGCTGATGCAGTTCTTGTTAAGAGAAATGCATAACTAAGAGTGGAGTAAAATCCACTTTTTAATGGGATGACAAGTATAGTTGGTGCAAATCCAACACATCTCAAAAGGGAGATAGTATGATACAAGACAATGATTTAAGATTTGATATAGACAGCGAACGATACTATTTGACTCAAAACTATGTATTAGAAAAACTTGGAACGGATTTGAAAATGGTTGCATATGATGAATTGGATGCAAGACAATCAACTCTACCACAAAGAACAATCGAGTATGCTTGTGATAAATTGTGGGATTTCATACAAGACAATGCAGTAAATCCACGAAGTTCAAGATATGCAACAACAAAGTTCAAAGATATGCACAATGCGATTAAAAGAGCATTAGGATATGAATTGTTAGATTTTATACAATACGGAGAAGATGAAGAACATCCAATAAGCAAGAGAGCGGTTAAAACATTGAATGGTGCAGGGTTATTCCACATTATTGTGAGAGATATACCAGAAGTGGAGAATTGGTAAATGTTAGGGATAGTTTCAAAGAAAGGAAGAGATTATGTATATCTTGCTGAATGGAGAGCGAAAGATAAGAGTGAGTGTCAATATTTTAGGTTTGCAATTGTGAGTGATGATAACTTGGAAATTCAAAGCAACAACTATATGAAAGGTTATACAGGTGCAATGCAAATCAAGACAAAATCAACAATATGTTTTAAGCCTGAGGATGTAGTTGTTATTCGAGGATATAGATACACGATATTGAATGTTGATGGAAATCGTAAAGAAGAGGGAGAGCAAGCACAAGCAAGGTTTGAGAACAATGGGAATGTTCCTGTTTATTTGAGTTTGAGAAAGGCAGGGTTATAAAATGAACAAGGAAGAATGGGAAAGATTATTTAGAGAAGCAATATATTCACTTCAACAGCAACCATTCGTTCCTTATGATACAGGGAATTTGAAATATGGTGCGATTAAAGGAATATGGAAAGATGAAAACACATTCACTATCTATATTGATGAAAATGTTGCACCATATGTTTTTTTTACAAATGAAACTTGGAGTAGAGGGAGAAATCCGCACGAGCATTGGATAGATGAAAATGGTTGATTATATATCAAGGTATATTGCAAGGAAGTTAAAGGGGAGAGATTAAGAAATGATTGAAACAAAGTATATTGCAGGACTTGTTCAAGGGTGGTTGAATGATAACAATTTAGGCAAAGAGTTTGTTGTATATGCTGATACGGGGGAGATAGTTGAGGCTTGTAGATGTAAAACTGAATTATGTAACAAATTGTGTATTGCAAGAATCAAGTCAAACACTGATACCAATTAAAGATTTAGTGCTTGAAACAATTAGTGCAAATTTAAGCGTTTTTGTGGACAAAGAGATAGTTGGCGAAGAAATAATCAACGGAAACAAGCAAAGCCGAAATTTGACCGATATTAAGTCAATTTTGTATGGTGTGGTGCAAAGTTACAACGGAAAAACAACAACAACTAGTATTGGTGGCAAAAACTATGACACAACAATAACATTTGGAAGTATTGTTGATGGTTTGGAAACAAGCATTGGGGACATTGATGATGGAATATGGATAAATGTTGATATAAACTTTGTATTCTTTGAGAACGGAGTAAATACAAACGATTGCCATATCATTATTGATGGAGAAGATGTGTTCTTTACTAGATGTGTTATATCAAGAATAAAAACAACGGATAATTCACACTTTGTTGGGGAAGATGGAAGTAAGGCTTATGTATTGACAAGTGGAAGAAGTATTGACTTAGTTATTCCTGCATTAAACACTCAATTTGGGCAAGATGTGATGGAAGATGTTTTAGGGAACAATATAAACAATAAACACCTAGTTGTTGTTGATACTCCGCTGGATAGTGTGGTATATGAAATGATTATAGGGAATTCTAGTGCAAATATGGATAATAGTGCGAATGTAGGGTTTAATGTATCATTAGTAGAAGCGAGTGAAATTTGTAAGTTCAAAGATGGATATTTTAATGATTGGACACCTTATGTAGTTTATACACAGCCACAAGAATGGCAAGACACTATATATGAAGATGGAGGTAAAGATATTAGAATTTTCTATGTAGAGGAAAGTGCAATCAGACCTGAAATGGTTGGTAAATGTACATTAGCAAATCCTATAAGGAATGAGAAAGGTAGGTATAAATTATGGCATACGAAATAAATATCAACATCAATGGGGAGTATGAAAGTCAAACAAGTGGAGTAAGTCAAACATCAAAGGTTGATGAGAATGTTGAAAAATACCAAAAACAACTGAGCAAATATATATCAGCACAAACAATACAACCGTTTATTCAAGAGTGTAAAATGCAAGTAACGACTAACATAGGGACATTGACAGGGAATAGCGATTTACAAGAACGAGTTAATCGTGGGTTTGAAGTGGTGCAGTTTGGAGTAAACACATATAAAAATGCAAGTGCTGGTGCGAGTATTGCTGTTGGGTTAGGTATGAGAGCAGGTGCAGGTTTTGGAATAGGTTTGGCATTATCTGCGATAGAAATTGGAATAAACTCATTATTTGAAACAATGAATTATAATATAAAAAGACAACAAGAAGATTACAATTTACAACAATCAAGAACAAGAATGGGTGTGGCATATAATAGAAGTAGGAGTTCATAATGGAATTTAAAGTATATGTTGGTGGAGAAGATTACACGAAGAATGCAACCTTCACAGTAAACGAACAAGACACAATAGATTTATCATTAGCAACAGGCAATTTAACATTAAAAGGTTTGAGTGTAGAAAATCCATTCAAGCCTTTTACTGATGTAATAATAACAATTGAAGATAAAAGAACACTTGCATATGTGATTTCAAATGACAATGTGGAAAGAGTTATTGCACAAAACACATATAACCATAATATTAGTTTAATCGAGCAGTCAAAGATACTTGAAAGATATCAAATTGTCAATCGTTCAGTAAAAAATCCAACAATACACGATTTTAGTGAGCTGGTAGATAGTAGAGAAACATCTATTACAATGAGATATAAATATATATGGATATGGCATTCACTTATGGAGTTTGGTGCAATGAGGCAGTTTGTTGCGGTTGGAAACCAAATAACAATTCCATCACTTGTAGATTTGGAAAGTGAATACAGAAATGATACGGGAGATAGAGGACATATTGGACAAGGTGGGTATGTTCAAGCACAAAATGTAACATACAAATATAAACTAGAAGTATATGAAAATGGAGTATTAGTTGCATCAACCGACAATCCAAATAACACATTGAATTATACACCACAAAAGGCTGGTGCGATTACAATTAGTTGGAAAGGATATGTTAATGCTACATTGGGGGCAGGTATGGAAGCATCAGCAGTATTGACCGCATATTCGCAAACAGAAACCGAAGTTGCAGATATAACAATAACTGATGCAGTGAATAAGTTGTTGCAAGTTGCTGAAACATTAAGAGTGAGTGAAATACCAAGATATCATTTTAACGAAGAACAAGCAACACGATATTCAAGTGTGATATGCCCTGAAATGAACTTTAATGGCAGTTTGTGGGAGTGTTTGAAACAAATTGGAGATGTTATTCATTCAGTGCCACGATTAAGATATGATGAGATATATTTTGATGAATTTGGGCTTGAAGATAAATTAGAAGAAGATATATCAACAAAATGTATAAGTGATACACAAACATTCAGTGTTGATAACTTTGCGAGTGCTTTGGATAGTGTTGTTCAAAATATAGTAAATACTGACAATGAAGAAAGTGGGGCAATACAAGAGCCATTTTCAAATGGATATATTACACCAAGAGCTGAATATGGAGAGGTTATTGTTACTGACACAAATTGTTTTATACCAACGAAATATCCTATTGAAAAGATTATAAAACTAGAATGTGGATATAGTCAAAACAATAATATTGGTGGGGATATCACAACATTTGTGTATGAACAAACCGAATACAACAATTTAACAAGTTATGGTGCAAGTATAAATTCAAAAGCCTATGCGATATATTATAAGCAAGGACAAAAAAACATATATGGAATGAATTATAGACAACCATACCAAACAAGTGTTGAACAATTAGTGGAACATCCATTTTCAATAAGGAATATTTTGAAATATAAGACAGGGACAAGCGATTTTGACAATATAGACATAAGAGATTTGCAATTTAGGATAACATATATACCACAAACAACAATTCGTGCAAGACAATACAAAGTAGATGTTGAAGATATACAATCGAACACGATAGCATACAATCAGAGTGCAAACAAGATTAGTTCCATAGCATATGGAGAAGCAATGAAAGGTGCTATTGCAAAATTAGGGAATCCAGAAAGGACACTTGTATTCATATTGAATGATGTTGATTTAATAAACAAAATCAAGTGTGGAATAAAGTATGATGATGAGTATTATATATCAGTTGTGAAAATTGAATGGTATAAAGATTTTGCAAAGGTAAGCATTGGGCTTAGCAAAGGGTTTAATGCTATAAGTGAATATGTTGGTATTAAAAATGAGTTAAGACATTATGAGGTTACAACTGAAACTCAAAATGCATATACTGTGTATGGAGATTTTGTTGTTATTGGGAACGAAATTGAGAGCAGTGAACAAACATTTCAAGCTGATGTTCCATTGTTGTCAAAAATAACATATCCAATATATCCATCATTCGAAAGTGCAAAACCTGATTGTGTTGTTGTAACTTGTTATGAAAACCAAGAAAATCCTGTAAAGACAGGGACTGCATTGTTGCCAATACAAACATATACAATTGGTAATTCAGTTGTATTATCTTTTCAGTTTGAAGATAATTATAGTGCAGGGAAATTCGTAACAAATGTTGGTGGTGGGAAAGTTCAACAAGATTTAACATATGGAGATGTGTTTGGGAATGTCAACAATATTCAAATAGAATTTGCGAGAGTGAATGATGAAGTGTGGGATGCGGACAATTGGAGATATATTGACCAAATAGGAAGTTTTGACCAAGCGGTTGGATATGGGAGAATGTTGCCAAATAGTGAGGTTGAGTATATGCCTGTATTATCAACAAGTGATGATAACATTGTTATTGATAAAGGGAATGCAGAAAATATATGTTTCTCATATCAATTAAATTATGTAAGGAACAATAAAAACATTGTGATAGGAAAGTATTTAATTGAAAACAATGAACTCGTGGAATCTAATGAATTTACAACATATTCAAAGATATATGGGTTGACAAGAGATATTGGGGAATATCAAACTGAAATAGACTTAAACAGTGCTATATTTATTGATGATGTTATTATTGAACAAAGTGTATTTAGTTGCAGGTGTATTATGGCAAACATCCAAAGTAAGATTCTTGAAAACAATATAAAGTCTATTGCAATTGTGAGAGATAACCACTTATTGATTGGAATAAACAATGTGAATAAAAGTGTAATAACAAATGATGATTTACCATATATATCAGTAACACATTCATTTGAAAAGCAAAAAACAATTCAAAATAAGAATGGATGCAACTGATACATTGTTGAAAGTTTATAAAATAGTAAATGGGGAAAGAGTTGAGTTGAATAACCTTGATATTGTTAATATTGGGGATGAAATTGTTGTAAATGCGACACCAACAAGAACATTAGGATATGGAGAATTAGTGAAAATCACAGCTAATGGGTTGGAATTAAAAATGAATATTCCATTTATCGCAACCAAACCACTGCATATCATATCTACAATAGAATCAGGATACTATGCATTCTTTACAATAGATGCAGAATTGGATAGCCAGCAAGTCGTAGCGAAAAATGCTATAAAGGTAAATGGAGAAGATGTTAGCACTATGACAGGCGGGAGATTATTGATAGGGACTTATACAATAGAAGTCAAACCACACCTTATGTTAGAGATTATAAACGGGGATAGAATAGTTGTTTCTCATCCAAGAAGAGTAGGTGTAGAATATGAATCATACTCAACAACAGTTGAAGTAACTACCAATTCAATGCTAACCATAAAATATAAACAATCTTCATTGTAGCATATAATAATATAGGAGAAAAAAATATGAGATGTGAATGTGTTAAAACAAGTGAAGAAAATGAAATCATACAAGGGGACACATATTATAGAGAAATTAAATATGAGAATGAGCAAGGCGAAGAGATTGGAGATGATGTAGTGTCTGCAATCTTTTTGCAACTTTGTTCAATGGATGGAACGATAGAAGAAGAACATATCGCAGTTGGAAGAACAATCAATGTTGATACAACACTTTGGGAGATAGGAGAACACCAAATCAGATATAGAATTGAATATTTGAACAACACAAGAAAGACAATTAAATTCAAAACAATAAAAGTTGTTAAGTAGGTGGATATGGGAATATACGAAGAACAAGAGCGGGTTGTGATAACTGAGGAAGAAGAAATTGATACACTCAGTGAAACAAGAGCAAGAGATATTATAACTGAAGATAGTGCGATTATTGCTGAAAGAACGGTTATATTAAGAGATTTGAGTTTTAATACGAGCAATGTTGTTTATGAAGAAAATTCAGCCAAATTTGATGGAATATTCACATATACTGATGAGAAAGGTACTGAGAGAACGAGTGAGGGGACAATATCACTTTCACTTGGTAGCAGTGATGAAGTAATTTTGTATGTTGACAATCAAGTATTGAAAGCAAAACTTAGTGATGAAATCAAAGCAAAAATACCAACTAGATTTATAACAACAGCAGAATATGAATCTATACAAGGGTACTCAGGGATTAAGTTTGAAAGAAGCAATGATGTTTAAGCAAGAAGTGATGTTTAATAGCAATGATTTTATTGTTTGGGGTGGCAGTGAATATACAATAATTGCAGGTAAAGAGGTTAAAATAAGAGATTACATCAACATATTTTTGAGTGGGAATGTATCAAAGGTAAACGAAACTGCAAAAGATATTGAATTGTCTATGGATGACACAACATACATTTTGACTGCAAAATTGAAAGACAAAAATGGTGTTGTATTAAGCACTCAAACAATAGACTTGCCACTTGAAGAAATGATAATAAGTGCAGAATATGACAAAACGACAAAAGAAATTGTATTGACATTGAAAAGTGGACAAACAACAAGAATATCAGTTGCTGATTTGGTTAGTGGGTTAGTATCAACAACTGAATTTAATCAAGCTATTCAAGATGTGCGAGATGCTATTCCAACAAAAACAAGTGAGTTAGAAAACGATAGTGGGTTTATCACGATTGAAGATGTGCCTAGTGCAAAGCTATACCAGGAGTTTGGCCAAAACACTGATGGGGCAATAAGTCAAAAGGTTGTAACTGACAAGATAAATGAAATCCAATTATACAAATTCCCAAATGCTGTTATTCGTGGAGAGCCAACCATAAACAATGGACAAATAAGTGGTTTTACAACATCAAATTATTTAATGTTTCCATTTATTTTAGATGTTAGAGATAGACCATTCCAAGTAGATTTTTGTTTTACAACAGGGAATAATGTTACAACACAGCAAAATGTGTTAGACAGTAGATTTGGGATTGCTCTTGCTATTAAAGATGGAAAGGGGTTAATGGCCATAAGCAACAATGGTATAAATTGGGCAAGTCAAGGCGTTGGGACTATGGCAATTCAACCAAATACAACATACTATGCAAGATTGAGTTGGAATAGATTGGTATATAAAACACAATTATCAACGGATGGAGTAAACTATATTGATGATATGTCAGTAGTCAATGCAACGAAGCCATATCCTGTAACAATGTTTATTGGTGGTGGGAATTTTGAAGAATTAGGGCATACACCAACAGTATTTGGTGGCTCAATAGATTTAAACAAAGCATACTTGTATGTTGATGGACAATTGATATGGCAAGGTATGGATGATGTAGGGCTATCTTCAAGAGCAGATGTGTCGCTGAGCAATTTGGATGAAGATGGTATCCAAGTTATAAAAACCAACGGTGGAACTGATGTAAAAGTCAACAATGTTAAACAAGCTGAAATAAATTTCACATCAGACCCTCAAACACAACTAAACGAATGTGTAACTCACGAAGATGTTGGAACAACACAAGAGGGTGTGCCGTTTTATACAAAGACTGAGAGTGATGAAAGATATAAATTTTACAATCATATTATTTATTTGATAAATGGCTCTTATAGATGCATCATATCAATAACAAATAAGTCTATTGATAATTTAACTTTGCAAAATATTAAAGATTTTTTGCAAAATAAAGGATTTACATCAACTAATTCAGGTTCTCCAAAATACCTTGCAACAGGTGGGAATAGAAATGATGATTATGTTACAATTTTTGGTATTTCAGTTGTAAATAATATTTTGAATTTAGGAATAATCACATCAGGTGGTGCTAGTTGGACTTGGTTTGATGATTGTAATATTGAAAATGAAATTGTATATGAGGTGGATTAAATGAATATTGAAATTGAAGAAAAAATTGTTAAGTTAAAGATGTGGTTTAACACTTATTATACAAGACACGAACAAAAATATCGTAGACTGCATACACTTGGAGATGAAACAGCATACCAACAACTATTAGAATTATATCAAGAGGCTGAGATTAAAAGAGCAAGAATACAAGAATTAGAGGAGATGTTAAATGGCGAAAATAAGTAACTTAAAAGACAAACAAGGGAATGTGTTATATCCTATAACATCTACCTCAGCACTTGTTGATAGTAACGGGCAACAGTTCCAACCCGCAAAAGAGGGAGAGAGTTACACAAAAGAACAATCTATTGAAGTCAAAGCAGGAGCACAATACGATGCGAATGTACAATATGATGCAAGTTTAACGCTGATTAGAGATGGGGCAAATCTTCCAACAACATCATCAAATCAATACGGTGCTTTGTTGACTCTCCCTTATAGAAAGGCACGAGGGAATACTACACCAGACTTTGCTGGGCAGATATTTCTTCCAAACGGAGATGATACTATAAATCCAAATTCTATGTTTTATAGAACAGGTAATAGAAACGCTTGGAACAAATGGAACGAAATTCAAACAAAAAAGACTTGGCAAGTTGGGTATAACTCTTCTAGCAGTAGTAGAGGTTGGTATAAGTTCTTAACATTTAATTGGGATGGGCGTAACAACTATGCAAACTACGATATGCACATATTAGTTAGTTCAACTTATGGCAATCCTTTCTCAGGAATATTGCACTTAAATCCTAGATGGGATACTAATGCTTTGGCATCAGGTATGTGGGTTGAATGGGATTGGATAGGCGGAGATAAACAATTTACAGCAGACAGCGTCAAGGTTGTTAGAAGTGCCAATAAAGTAGAGTGTTATATTTATCAACCTATCAATGATGGCTGGCATTTCATAGCTTTTTCAATTCTTCACGAAAGCGGAAGATTGTCTGCAATGGGAATAAGTTATGAATTTGCTACAGTAGATACTGCTCCTTTATCTAGCGTTTCAAATGTGTGGATAACTTCAACTAAGGCTGGAGATGGTGCAAACTATCAGTTAGATACTGAAGTTATGACAAACACAAAGTGGATTGATGGTAAACCAATTTATAAATTGACAAAATATTTTTGAAGATTTACCAAATAGTACAAGTTGGTCAAATGTGTTTTATTTGCATTCTGACGCTACCATAAGCCAAATAATAAAAATAGAAGGTCTCTTAGATGAGTGGGGCAATTTAATTTCACTACCTGTGAGTGAGGGAAGTGCATATAGAAATCTAAGATGGAATAGAAACACAGGATATATTCAAACAATAAACAATGGATTTAATCACAGTGCATACATCACTGTGTACTTTACAAGAAAATAGGAGAGTGACTTATGATAAGTGAACAAATAGATGAGATTAGAGAAATTGTGCATTGGTTTGAAAGTTATTACACAATACACGAACAAAAATATCAGCGTATGATTAGACTGAATGACACTACTGAGAATTGGGTTGAAAAATTGCAACAATTAGATGCTGAGGCTGAAATAAAAAGAGCAAGGATACAAGAGTTGGAGGAAATTTTGAAAGGGGGAGAAAGTGAAGAAGATTAAACTATACACAACAACAGGTCAATGGCTTGATAGTAAAGAATATTTGAATTGTAGAGAAAACTTAGATATTTCACTAGAATATGATTTTGATAAAAATGTTGAAGTCTATTTTATAGCAGATAATGGGACATCACAATTCAAAGGTCTTGTAAAAGACAATAAATTTTCAATACCAACATCAAAAATAAAAAAAGGTATATTGAAATTAAAAATTGTTGTAGTCAGTGCGGAAACACCAACACAAGAGTTTGTTGTAGAAGATTTACAAGTGAATGAATTAGACTATAACATATACACCTTGCCTGAGGTTGTAGCATTAAAAGAACAAGTGGAAACTTTGAGCAATAAAGTGAATACATTAACAAAACTAGTTGCAACATTATACAATGTTGATATAAAGGGGGTTGAATAATGGATTGGACAGCAATAAGTGATTTGATAGCAGAACATTGGGGAGAGATTTTTGGCGGAGCTTCTATTCCTATTGTTGTATTATTCTTATGCAAGTTTTTGGTTGGAGTGGTTTTAACAAAGATTGAGTCAAAAGCAAAGTTAAAAGCAAACACAGGGATTGTTGAGAAACTTGATACAACAATGAAAGAATTAAGAGAACTTGACACAAAGTATGATGCAGTGTTTAGAGAATATTTGAAAGATACTGAGAAAGTATGTATTGAGGGTTTTACAAAAGCATTGAATGATTATCAAGAAAAGAAAGTTGAAACATACAATAAAATTATGGAAAATGCAGATGCTGAAATTAAAGAAATTGAAGCTGAACAAATAGCATTTGAAACAAAATTAGAAGAAGTTAAACAAGAAATAGTTGAAGAATTAAAAGAAACTATCGAAAATATTGAAAATAATGCACCTAAAATCGAAGAAATACAAAAAGTTGAAGAAGATATCAAAGAAGAAGAAAACACCGAAATAAACGAGAATATTATAGAAGTTGAGGTTGTGAGAGAGTGAGTGTGTGGAATAAAATATTCACTTGGGTTGTTTAGGATATTCACATACATTGTGCCAAGTGGGGTAGTATTATGGGAATTTTTAATATCAAAGTTAATAAGCAATGAGGTGTCAATCACTCAAAAGATAGGGTTGAGTGGAATAATGACAATCACAGTTATTGGATTGATTGCGGTATTTTTCTTGGGGAAATTCATTCGCAAGAAAATACAAAACATCACAAATGAGTGTATAGAGTGTTGCGATAACAATAAAAAAATGGAGTTAGTGTTAAAAAAGAAAAAGTGGGAACTTATACAAGATAGATTCCACAATATATGTTTCATAGCACCATTTATAATTGTTTGGGCAGTTCTTACAATGGTAGAGAATGGAGTTGTTTCATTAAGAGGTACATTCCTGGAAATAATAATTTCAATGGCAGTAGGGTTTGGATTTAATGAGATAGCAAGAATGTTTAGTTCAAAGGGGAACGAGAAGAAATATGAAAATACAACAAGCGTTGAGTAAAATAGGGACAAAAAATGGATTGCAAATCGTAAGTGGTGCAGTCCTTATTGTCCTTACTTTTATTTTGAATGGATTTTTAAGTTTTATGGAATGTGGATTTGACTTGTCAGCAATAGCAACAAGCAAGTATTGGGCAAACTTCGCAAGAATGACAGCAAGTGAAATTGTAGTGATGTTTGGGATGTATCTGATTCAAAAGACAAAAGATATGGCCGATTCAAAAATCACAGGGTTACAAGGTGAAATTGATGCAAAAAGAAAAGCGATTTATTCAGTTGATAAGGTTGCTGATGCAGAAGAATGGTTGCGGGTTATCTATAATTATAGAGAGAAATTGATATTGTATGATAACAAGTTGAAATCAATGTATGAAAAAATCCGTTGTATTGAGCCAAATAAGGATGAAAAAGGATATGCAAGAAAAATTGCACGATACCATAAGAATTTGGCGAAAAAAGAGTTTATACAAGGACAAATGGATTTTGTAAAAAAAGACTTTGAAAGACTTAAATTGATAGTCAAAAAAGCACCACAAGAAGAAATTGAGAAAGATGAGAAAATATTAGAAACTGATGAATATCTTTTCAAAACTGCAAGATTGCATTACAGGACAGTATATTGGGGAAACTTGTTGAGTGGAATAGATGCGAGTAAGTCAAAAGACAACACAGTCTTTTTCAATGAAAGCAAGGAGATATCAAAGAACACGATTCAGTTGGTTGGTTTTGCTTGCATCGTATCAGCATATATTGCATCAATGGTAGTTCCTGCATTTAATGGTTGGAGTTGGAGTTATATCATAAACCTATTCACGAGTGCATTGTGTTTGTTGTGGTTTATGACAAGAGGGGTTATTCTTTCAAAGAAAATTATACTTGGGAGATATTATTCAGCACTTGAAAAGAGAAAATCAGTATATTCAATGATGTTGGCAGATTTGGGGTTAAAAGTAACAATAAAAGAAAAAACTGATGAAAAAACCGAACAAATATAATGAAAAGTATTGACAATATATATAATATATTATATAATAACGGAGTAAGGAGAGGATTATGAAAACTTTTTACAATAAAGAGATGAGATTTTAGAGCCTTAGATATACGAAAGAGTTGTCAATAATGCAAAAAAGGTGGTCGAAATCCATCTTTTTTTTATTTTTTGAAAAATTTTTGAAAAAGTTTTGAAAATTAGTTGACAATGTTATATAAAAAGTTATATAATAAAGGTGTGAAAGATAGATAAATATCTTCACAAAAAGGAGTGTATTATGGAAAAAATAATTATTGAACAAGAAATGGGATTTGAAGAAGCACAAAGATTTGCAGAAAGAAAAGGGAAAACACTTATTATGTGTAGTCACGAAAATGGTAAGACAATATTGATGTGTAGATAGGTGGTGTAGTATGAATTTAGAGAAGATTAACGACAACATTAAAAGACTGATAGAGTTAAGGAAACAAACTCATAACAACATTGAATGGCAAAAAATAATAAATATTCAACTTGATAAGTTATACGAGTTCAAGTATGAATTGATGAAAGGGGTGGCAAATGATTAAACTAGTGTATATCGATACAAATGGGAAAGAACACCACGAGTGGTATGAAGATGAGCAAATTAACTTTGCGATAGAGAGGGCAAGCCAAATAACTGAAATAGCAAGGTTTGTATTGCTTACTGATAGTAAAGAAGAAACATTGTTTGAATATAGCCGAAACTAGCCGAAAGGTTAGTCCACATAAGATGACAACTTGTGTGCTGATGATGGCAAGTCTTAAAAGGGGTTAAGGATGAGAACAAAAAAAAATATTCTGCATTAGTTTAGATGAAGAAATCGCAGAACTTGGAAAAGTCAAAGCCATTGCTCATAAGAAATCGTTTAGTGCTTTTGTCGAAGAACTTATAAAAAAAGCAAAGTAAAGGAGTGTAGAAAATGAATATTTATGAAAAGTTAAATGAAATTCAACAAAAGTTGAAAGCAAACAAAAGTCAATTTAATAAATTTGGTGGATACAAATATAGAAATTGTGAAGATATTTTGGAAGCGGTAAAACCATTGTTAGCGGAAACAAAGACAGTAATCTTATTGAGTGATGATATACAAAACATAGGAGAAAGATACTATGTGAAAGCCACTGCAATACTTAAAGATTGTGAAAGTGATGACAAGATTGAAAATGTGGCATTTGCGAGAGAAGAAGAAAATAAAAAAGGAATGGATGGAAGTCAAGTAACAGGTGCAAGCAGTTCATATGCGAGAAAATATGCTTTGAATGGATTGTTTGCAATTGATGATACAAAAGATAGTGACACAACAAACCATTGTGGGAAAGATGATGTATCAAATATAGATGAAAAACTTGTAAAAGAGTGTGGAAAGTATGGTATTGATATTCAAAAAGTAGCACAATATTACAAAATAGAGGTTAAAGATTTGACAAATGATTTAGTTAAACAAGCAATTGAAATGAAAGTAAAATCTAGTATAAAGGAAGTTGAGGTGTAAATTATGTTTAAAAAAGAGAATACTATTGAAAAATTGACAAGAGAAAATGCTAAGTTGGAGTTGAAAAAACAACAACTTGAAGATGAGAAAAATCGAAAGAATAGCGAAATTACAACAAAAATTAGTGCTTTGGAAACAAAAATTAAGGCATTGAATGATGAGGCTTTGAGAAACAATGAAGAATGTGCAGTTGAGAAATTGGAAATTGATAGACTTATTAAAAAGAATAGGGGTCAAATGGAGTTGGAAGCAAAGTTTTATGCTGAACTTACAGGAATTAAAAAGGAGAGTAAATAATGAACAAAGTTAGTTTAATTGGAAACTTAACAAGAGCAGTTGAATGTGGTGGAGATGGAGAATTAAAATTTGCAAAATCTTCAATAGCAATAAACAATGGGAAATCAACTGATTTTATACCATTCACAGCCTTTGGAAAGACTGCTGAAATTATAGATAAATATACAGACAATGGGAGTAAGATTTGTTTGTGTGGACATCTTAAACAAAATTCGTGGGAGAAAGATGGAAAGATGACAT